TCACACACGCGCGAAATGCAGCTTCATACCGCGATCGCAGCTGCGCTCTTCCGTCATGCACGGATAAAAATCACCAGCAGCTTTGGCACATCGAAAAGGAGGCGCTCGACCTCCATGGAGATCCACAGCGTCAACCTTAGAATAATTTAAATAAATCCGGGTTTGAATTAGAGTCTACCGTATATTAAAAAAAAGTTACAAAAAGCGCAACTGGTGACCCAGACTAAACTGGAAACTTCGTTCCGAGTAGGACAAACAATGTTACCATCTTGTTTAATGAATGACAAGTTCATGTGGACGCTCCCATCTAGAAGCTGCAACATGGTGGAACTAATGTTCGGCAAAGATTTTCCTAAAATACCAATGCTCACTCATTCTGCTTTGAACGGCAAAAAAAAAGATCAACATGAACTGCGCATTAACAAACCCGCTACATAGGCATTTATTTTACCTGAGTGTGGTTAGCTTGACCGATTGCCCGGCTTCCGGCGAAACTTCAAGGTGGTTGAACTTCGTCCCGTACGGCAATTTATAGCGACTCCCTCATGTCTAACTTCCCAATATGGTAAGCGCCTTTAGAGACCGTCGCGCAATTCTCTTTCTTTTGCGTCTCATTGGTTTCCGAGTTTTTCATTGTTTGCTCACACCACCCCCTTTTTTATCGACATTTTCATAAGTGATATGAATGAGTGGTCATAGTGGATACTGGGGATACCAGCGAAAGGAGTATGATTACAGACAATATAGGGGTCCGGCTGATAATTTGACCTTTGCTTCTGGTGTGAAGGGCATCTTTACAGTCCCAAGTGGCTTTGAAGGAGTAAAATTAGCGGTACTAACCTGTAACCATGCGGGGGGGCTGACAGCTTCAAGCCCGGAGACCAGTGTCGCAGATCTAGACCTGTATGGGGAGCTGGGGAAGTGGGGGGTGCGGTTATCTCGCCGTTTTAACCCTTTATTTACTGTGAAAATAATTCTAATGAAATATGTTTTGTTATTATTTTATTCATCAGCCAAAGGAACCAACCCAATGCATGGACTTGAGCCTCCGTAGGATCATTTGTTCAACCGCTGTGTTTTATTCACCTGCTGTAACGGAGCGTACTATAAACGCCATAAAAACATAAAATTCACATAAAATGTAGACTGTCCGTAACCGTATATTGTCCCGTGATCGTGCTATGAAACTTTGATGTTCAATCTGCGAGACAATGGGTATTCATTTGTTCACAGAGTCGTTTACTATGCTGTGAGGTTTTGAATTGGCAATTTTCCAGACTTTCCAGATTGTACTGGTTTGTCACATAATATTTAATCACAAAGCATGAAACAAATAGACCTAGTACAGGGGTGGTTCTGGGGGGGGGGCAGTGCCCTCCCCTGTGGCCCCTTTAAATACGTATGCTGCTTGATAGAGGTAAGAAGCCTGTCTGTTGTTGCACCCACCACACGACGAACTCTGCATGGAACAGTGTGAGTTTTTTCCAGTGGCTGAAGCGCCAATCCTGCCACCATCCCCCAAATTTGGAGGACCTGCTCGCAGGGCCGGATGTAGGTTAACATCATACCAGGACGAAGCCACTGCGCGTTAGCGTCCTTGCTGAAGAGCCCAACGGAGTAGAATCACTCCCGTCATTCACGGGATTCGAACCAGCAACCTCCTGATTGCTGGCACAGATCCCTAGCCTCAGAGCCTACAATTGCTACTTGGTTCTGAAATAACTGTAATATTATTATCATCATCATCATCATCATTATTTTTACATTTGGGCTAAAATTTTGTGTGCTGGGAAGAGGTGGAACACTCTCTTGCACATTCTCTTCAGGGACTCTTAATACTTACCATTTTTAAAATTGTTTTTTGCTTCATAATGCTGGCAATCTATAGTGTTACAGTAGTAATACTTGGAGGACATTAAGGTCAAATGCATCTGCCCCCCCAACAGAAAAACTGGCCCTAGTCTGCCCCCCGGCCCCCCAGTTGAAATGGTCTACAAAGGTCACTGCTCTACTATGCAGTTATGAATAGGCCTACTGAAGCTGATTACACTAAACCCCCCCCCCCCCCCCCCCCCACCATGAGTGGTAGGTTCTAAGACCCGTAGCAGTTTTTATGTACTTACACGTGCTAATTGATAAACTACAGACTGTAAAACATTGTCAACCTTAAATACAGAACATTGTACATTATTATAAAGTACTGTACTCTCTTGAAATAACAAGGGCTGAATGCCTTGAAAATCATGCTTTTTATACCCCTCAAAGGACAATGTAACAGTGAAAAAACGTACCATTGCATATTTAACATTTTTTTGGACGGCAGTTAAACTATGGATAGTGACACTGCTCTTACGAGGGCTGCTGTGTTTTATAGCATATAGTCGTACACAAGCACGGACCCAGGTGCTCACATTAGGAGTTTGAGCATCATAGGTCGACCTACCGGTTGGGTTGCTGGACACCCCATGCATGTTTAAGGCCTGTTGTACACTTTATAGTTTCCATTACTTCATAACTGTGGACCAGGCCTAATGATTAACCACAAACCATGCATATATATATACATATTTTGATTACTGTAGTGGTAAGAATAAGGAGGTGTTTGAATTACAGGAGCAAGTAAATTCTGTAGCAAACCTACTGTTTGCGAAAAGGAAATATTGCTGATACAGACAGACTACAGTGTCAGGCCTAACATGGAGGAATTTGCAGTAATGAAGTATAAAAATGACAAAACAACAGAGATATTTTCAGTTACGAAAACAACTGTTCATGACTAAAACCATGTAATGTTACACCCGTTTTAGTCTTTTCCCGCTCTGTGTGAGCAGTTGATGTTTGTACTTCTGTTCTTAGATACAGAAAACGTTGATATCAGCATACCTACCCAGGCAAGTGCAAAATGCCACATTCCTGTTATAACCAAAGTGTCTAAAAATCTCTGCAATCATATATTATTCATTAAATATCCCCGTCCTTTTAACCATGTCCTGCTTTTTGTCGTGTGTTTGTTACCTGAGGCAGAAAAGTTGTTCAGACATTGACTACTTAATGTATTTTTTGCTGTGGAGTCTTTAGGACAAACACAATGAGAGTATAAAACAGTAATGACTAAAATGAGCTGATAAATGTTTCTGCATTTTCCTCCAGTAGTCCATACAGTTAGATAACTGCCAGCCTAAATTACTCAGTTTCCTGTGCTGCCTGGAATAGGCACCAAGCCCCCCCAACCCTGACCAGCGTAAGTTGTTAGAAGATGGATGGACATATAGGCTTAAGTACTGCTTTAAGTTACGTCTATGTTAATTAAAGTATTGAAATCCTGTTCTTCAGCCGTTTTCATTTGCAAAACTGTTCCACCTTACTGGAGTTGTTCAAAATACTTGTTCCGTAATGGTAGCAGCCTTATTGCCGCATCTCCACCAGAGGGCGCTCTCTCATTACATGAAGTGTACATACAAATATGTGTCCATGTATTCAGTAGAGGGACAAATGATCCTGGAGCCAACATTATGGAGCACGGGATGGGATGCAAGTCAGTAGCGGATCACACATCCAAAACGGAACACTCCAAATGGGCCACCTGTACACAACGTCAGGCATTCTGTCCCTAGGTCCCTGACAGTACAGTTCACTGCAGGAAAAAGGTCACCAGTAGGACTTGGGGCTGTTGACTGAATGGGTGAGTACAGGATGAGGTGCACAAAAGGGCAGATTGAAGGGCAGAGGACTGACAAAGCAGAAACAGGAAGCAGGACCCAGGAAACAGGAAGTAGAGCACAAACACAAAAACATATCAACTATAACAAGCCTATAAACATGACGGCAGTTACCCAGCACACCAGCTGCAAAACAGACGTGAATCAAAACCACGAATCCTGCAACGAGGAACCACCTCCCCAAAGCCACAGACCCGACACCCAAAAGCATAATACTTGTGACAAACTGGCTGCCCCAGGAGCCACAAAATCAAACTGAACCCGCCCCTCTGTCTGTACTCCGAACCAAATAAAGCTCTGAGCCCTACATTCAAAGGGCGATGATGATTGCCGAACGGGAAGCATTGCTCACTGCTCTGTGTAAATAAGTGAAAGTGCTAAATGCCACCTGGTGCCGAGCAGGATCCCACAGACACGGCTTACTTACCTGCTTACAAACGCAGGTGTAACACAGCGCACACGCAAACCCCTGAATTTAAAAATGATCCGTAAGCTAATGCCATTTCATTATTATTCTTAGCAGATTAATTTTTCTCCAGCATCCTTATGTAAGGAGCAGAGTGTATTGGGGAAGTACTCACTTCTATTCTCCGTTTTCACAAAACTGTCCAAAAAGTGAATATTTATCTAGTGATTGGGCTAGTTGAAACAAGGCAGCTGGATCAGAATGAAAATAGTGTTTCGCAGTCTAATTTAGTAACATGATTTTCCTAAAATACCCCTGGATAATTATAACCGAAGTAACAAATAACATTAAACATTTAATGTAGGAAAGCTTTTTAATGAGGCTAACTGGTGGCACGGTGGTTGGCAACGTCACCTCACCCATCTAGGGCCTGGGTTTGAGTCTCTACCAGGGTTCTAGGTGTCTGGAGTTTGCATTGATGGGCTGAATGGCCTCCTCTCATTTGTAAATTTCTCATGTTCCCCCTCTGTCATTGTGGGCTTTTCTCTGGGTGCTCGGCTTTTGCCCCGCAGTCCAAAAACTTGCTGTGGTTCATTTTGAGTTACCCAGTTGCCCGTAGATGTGAATGGGCTGTGAATGTGCCCTGCAACGGATTGGCACCCCATCCAATGCCTTGCACCTGTAGGGTCCTGACTCCCTGAACAGGAAAAGTCATTATAGAAGATAGATGAACGGAAACTTTTAATAGGAGATTCTTAAGCCTTTCTGTTAGAAATTCTGCCGCGAGACACTATATATGTCATTTATATATATATATATATGGCTCATGTTATAACAATGTTCAGCTCTTGGGAAATAAATTCATAGGCACATTGTTTCTTTTTAATTAGATTTAGCAGAAGTTCTTTTTATTTGGCCAAATCAAAAAGTCACAAGTTTGAAATATAAAAACATACAGTAATCTTTTAATGGTCAAACTACAGAGGCAGGCCAGCTGTTGTGTGTGACAGGAGGCCCAGTTCCTGAAAACAGCCTGCAGCCAGGGAGGGTCGAGCAACGGTTTGGCGAAGGTGGGGGGAGACAATGTGATCAGTAGCCCGATTTCTTCAGGTGCTGCACCATATCGAAAGCTTTAGGGTTCAGTTTCCCTCCGTGGGCATCCTTGTTTCCTTTCACGAGGACTAGAGCTGAAAGATGCAACAGAAAAAAACGCACATTAATATTTACAGCAGAATCTCTGCATTCGACGTCAGCGCACAGGCAGACTTTCATATGACACCACAAGTTCTTCCACACTCTCTAGTGCAGGTGTTGCTTTGGGGCCGAAGCGAAGGTGGATAACGGGAGGGACACAGGAGCAGGAGTCAGAGTGAAGATATGACAGAATTTGCAAAGAGTGTTTGAAAATCTTGATGTCTTGGTCCTGCCTTCTCTAGTTGCTTGGACCCACCTCCTCTACAATCTGATTGGTCATCTCTCTGAACCAATCATTTTTCGTTCTGCCCTCAGAACATTTTTGTCCTACATGTACAGTAGGAGTGAAGGAGTGGAATAGAGGACTTGGGAGTGGGGTGGGTGCAGAGCGGAGGGTGTCACCTTTGACTGATTTGCCTATGGAGATGTTAAAGGTGTCTGGATTTTGATCTGAGGCCTTGGTGCGCACGTCCATGGTGTTCTGCCCGTCAGTATGAAGGGCGTCTCTCAGAACGGTGCATTTGGTGTTTGCGATTGTCACCCCGGTGCTGAACAGGGAGCTGCGGTCAGTGTTGACCAGCTGGCGGATTTCTGCAGCCTGTGGAAACGGGGGAAGGGAAACAATATGCTTCTCTGTGAGTGTTTCACTATGATAGTGAATCTCTAGGGACTTTCACATGGGAGCAATTTACAAACCCAGAAGTCCTTAATTACTTAATAAACACGAGGGACATACAAGCCAGTAATAAAGAACCTTACACTCTTACGAACAACAAAATTTATTAATGCATAACTTTTCTGATATTTTAGCTAGCTCTTTGGGTCAGTGGGTGGGTGATTGGAAAGCGGCTCATTCAAATCGGCTTTACTGTTGGGCCCTTGAGCGAGGCCCTTAACCCCAGTTGCTCCAGGGAATGGCTGACCCTGTGTATGTTTGGATAAAAGCATCCACTAAATAAATGAATGAATGAGTAAATACATTTAAATGTCATTCATTGGTGACCATATCCGATATCCGACTGTGGGCTGTTTGCTTGGGGGTGTACCATCTAACTCACGCTATGGGTCATCTGTCTGTGGTGGCCAGGAGTTAATCATTAAGAAAAGAATAACTGGTTTTGTTTTGGAAGCTTTTCAGCAGCATCTGACTTGACTATCTCATTAGTGCCTCCTACAGGCCCCAAGGACACATTACTATTGATTGTTTTCCAGCATCTCCTCTGTGCACCTTGGAATAGGGGGCGGATGCTATGCTATGAGGTGAGATGCTGAATTAGGAACTATTAAATGGGATGATCCTAGGAAAAAATATCAAGGCTGGACAATGACTGTTGAACGTAAAGTTTCGCTAATAAACAAGCAGGTGGACGAGGCCTACTTGGTACAGAATAGGCAGCAGGTTCAGGAATGTGCTTAAGCAGCTGCAGACCAGACTGAACATGCACACCAGTGCATCCCACTGCGCAGCATGCATCTTAGGCTGCGTGCAGGTGCCGACATGCAGGGACGGCTTGGAGAGAGTTAGGCATAACCCAAGGCGAAGGGTAAGTATGCCCAAAACAAATTCCTTGGGAAATCCTGTCCTGTCCTGTCTGAGACTTTCTTGGAAGTACGTATAAAGACAGCGCTATCGCCATCTGAATTCCTCACCTGCCATGTTGAATTTCTGCCTTCAGGTTATCAGGTTATAGCGCATGTGAGGGGTGTGGTTTTACATGTGGCACTATTGCCCCAGAATCTGCAAATATTTTTATCCCAGAGAGACGTGAATGCAGTTCCTAAATGAGGCCAATTAGCCCAAAAGGACCCGAGAAATAATAGGCGCTATCTGATCTTTGCATTGGCTGGAACACTGTAGAGGGGCATTCTGTGCAAACTCAACATGCTTCTCTGCAACAACAGCAGAACCCAACAGTGCATCTCTGACAAAATAAATATCTCCTGTCTCCCTCAATAACACCTCCACGTGCCAACGTCCAACAGCATTTCAAAGACTGACTGCAATCAAGTTGCATGTTAGTGGTAGAAGTCTTGTTTTTTTTTTTTGCCTAAACACCTGATTGCACGAAAGTAACGGAAACAGGAAGGGCTGTGCATGTTTGTAGGCCATGACTTCCTCTCCCTCACCGCCATCGTTCAGCTGTTGTCATGCAAAACTGAAAAAAATCTTCCTTTTCCCCGTGACCGTTGGTTGTGGGTTTATACACTCAAATGACATTAAGGAGAAAAAAATGATGTCAAAAAGGGCGCAAAATTCAGGCAGGCTAATCCACAGATATAGTGTTTATATAATAAATGAGTATCACAGATGAAAGTTATGGCTGCAAAGTCAAACCAATAAAATCAATGCGCAAAAAAGTACAGTGACAATTGCACTGACATCTACAATAAGAAGATAAAATTCCTTTCTGCATGTGGGTGTCGAAATGGACGCTAACTTGGTCAACTGGCCCAACAAAGATAAAATTCTTACCAGGATCAGTTTTATCTAATCAACTGCATGACATGCATAGACTGACACTCGCCACAGCTCCTGACTTATGACAGAGGGAAGAAATCATGATAAATAAATGCAGATCTGTTTTAAAAGTGTAACTGTCTCCATGCAACACTGCACTCTACTGCAGGGGACAAGTGCGGCCTTGAAACTGACAGTGGGTGAAATTACTGGGTGCTGTCAATCACTGACTGACTTAACCTTTCAGGTTAACTGACAGGAAGTGACTTTGACCAATCACAGACTGACAGCGCCTAGTAATTCCACCAATTGTGTTTCTCCCATCTGCCACGTGGAATTCAAACAGCAGATGGTCAGAATGGCTTTAAAATCCCCCACTGTGGATTAAACAATCGTAATCGTAATGCATCAAAGGATCTCAGAACCATTTAATACGTCATGAATGCCGAATACCCTGGCAATGCAGCACAGCTGTACGGATAACGGATAACATGCCCCCCCTCCTACTGTGAGTCCAAGCCCCTCCCTACTACTTCCTGTTGAGTCTGAGGTCACTGGGTGTCACAGTTTTTGAAGGTAAAGGGCACTCCCCTGATGGCATTCTCTGACCTCACAACCAACCAACCATCTTAGACTATAAATATGTCTACTCTTGGTCACGTGACACTAGGGATCCTCTGTAGCCTAAATCAAGCACAAAGCCAGGGCTCAGAGTAAATTACCCCCATTAGTCTCGGCTTAGTTGCACGGTACCTGCTCATAATCCCACAAGCATTAAAATGTCCACCTTTGGATGTATAGGAGGCTTAAAGGTACAACAGCAAGTCCAGTTCATTTCCCAATGGACTGCCCTTCCCTGTACCAACAGATCCACAAGCTACAGGTCTATACTTGAATGTGGGAGGTGGGGCTGATCCTGGGTGGTACTGTAGGTGGAACCAAATTTATTAAAGAGATTGAAGGGACTTTTAAAAAGGTCCAGTCAAGATCCTAACAAGGTTCTTCACTGAGCCTATAGGGTAGAATTTGTCAGTATACACCCTGTCAGAAAAAAGGTACAGGCCTGACGAGGTTTGTTACCCATGGTACAAGCACCATTAATATACCCCGGGTGGTACAAAAATGTTCTTCAGAGTCAATTTCTGTACCTTAAAATTTACCTACCGCTAGGACAGGTAGAGATGAATGGATAGGGGGGCTGAGTCTTTACTGGGGGAGCCAATGGCTAAAGCCTCCCTAAAATATGCCTAAGGACAGCCCCGGCGATAGGGTACAACTGGCGGAGCCTTGGGATACAACTCCAGTGATAAGTAATTGTACCCTGAATGTAACTTATCTGAAAAACATATTCAGATTGTAATGAAACCCAGAGTCATACAACTTCAAGGCTAAATACAGTTGTCATATATATTATTTTGGCAGTTTAGGTATATGTTGAATTACTACACTACATTTATCCTGCTAAAATGAGTTTTAATTATAAAATGAAGATTAAAATAGTAATTTATAGTTGTGGATCTGTGGCAGGTTGATAGATATTTGGTAAAGTTGGTCTAAGGAAGTGACTTGCATCGGGGCTCTCTTCACTTCCTACATCTCTTCAGCAGTTTTGCAAACCATATGACCAAATAAGGAATGACTCGGGACGTTCACTGTGATGAACCCAGCGGCTCACAGCACAATTCAGCTGAAATGTAAATAATGCACCGTTATTTCTGTATTGAGTTTAAATCGCCGCACACGTAGGCCCACTGGTCCATTGTCTGAATGCAGCAATCGAGATTTGGATGTTCAAGTAACCGACGGGTGTTTGACAATCTACTCAAACGGTTTTATACATCCATCTCATCGCAAAGTAGGTCTATATGTTCGTATCAAAATGCGGCAATTGAAGTTAATGTACAATGATATTCATTCTAATATTCATTAGAATATCGGTCTAGGGCATAATAATGAACTAATGAATGAATGAATATAATGATGATGATGATGATAATAATAATAATAATAATAATAAAGATGATCAAAGTTACTCAGATTAAAGTAAAAACTGGAGAACATAAAAAGTTTCTCACTGGAATTTTCATAAAATTCCCATAGACATTTACATAACAGTACCATCCAGTGCCTTTGGGGTGGAAATGAGCAAAGCGACTTCCTGATAACGCAAGGCACACATGTTAATGGGACTGGTGAGAACTGTACAGTATTAAAAAAACTAAAATAAAAATAAGGGAAATAACTGCATATCTGCAGAGAACACATTGTAACAGAAAGCCAGTATGAGAAGCATTATCTCTCGAAGCAATTAGGGAAAAATCCAAGGAAGACAAACTAGACATCCGGTTCCTCTCGAACGCACCCTTTTGATACCCCGGCCTGCAATAAGCATTACTCAACTAACCGATCACACATCTCCTAAAACTAAAACGTCCTTATTGAAAATTGTCTACATATAACCAAATGCATGATGATAAACGTTAAAATTCTGCTCAATTACTTAATTCTGTACCGCGCCAATAACTAGGGCAAAATCGACGGGTAAAAAAAAATGTACAAATAAGTGAAAATTTTTCAGCCTGTATAACTGAAATTAATCAACGAAATCCAAACTGCAATGCTTGGCAGTGCCGTACTAATTGGACTTGAGGAGTTAACTGTCACACTGAGAGGGGCGGGCTGACACGCAGCGGTCCTGAGTGGAGACAAGCAACATTTATATTTTACCTATTTAGATTTATACAGCCATCGTAAAGCATATTTTAGAATGCATATAACATAATGCATTATTAAAATATTTATTACTATCTAATAAAACCGGTATGTAAAATAGTGGCACTTGACACTTTACCGAGATTCTTGCGAAGTCCCCACCCTTGTGCGCCGCCCATACGGACTCTTGGCCCTTTTCGTAGCCGACGATCGCCGCGTCCATCATGAAAGAACCATCCATCAAATTCGTGATATACCCGTCCCAAGACATCTTCAATTTGCTCTCTCGATCGGCCTACTGGAAAGATAAAAAAAAGGCTGTGAAAGACACAAATTGAAATATTATAGAAATATGCAAATGCACATTAGAAGTAACTACCTGTTGAGCGGTCCTTGTGACTTTAGCAAAGTTGCGAAGTGAAATAGAGGAAGTTTCCTCAAATTTATATGCAGCCTTGACTGAGCGGCCGTCCCACCGGGTACTTCCTCAAAGTGCTTGAAACGGGGCGGGGTGCGAGCTGGACTGCAACCTGCGCGCATCGCTCTTCAGATCAAGGGGGGGTCTAAATTCCTTATTTTAAACTAAGACATTTTTATGTTTTCCATTGGAATATAAATGACAGTCCTGCGTCTGTTAAACGTGACTGCTCAGCTGATTAAAGTTTGAGACCTTGTCCGATGAGCGGCTCATTGATTTTACGATTGATACAATCCTCTGAACAAACCACCTTCTCACTTAATTGGCAGGATGAATGGTGCTTATTATTAATGACACATGGTATGGCATGTTTCGGCCATATTTAGCCAAGGTCTAATAGAGAGTTTTCCTGTATGTAGGTTTATTTAAGCCAACTAGCTGCAGCGCTGACTTTACAGACGCGTGGTTTAAGCAATCAGACGATCCAAGCTGCAGGAAACGACACGCCGTTTTTCTGTGTCGGGCAAAAAAAAACACAGCGTGTGATGACAAGCCTTTCAGGAGGCGCTCATTCCTAAGCTGTGGAAGAAGCGGGTCCGCCGGCCGGGATGCTGAGGAACATCTCCAAAGATGGACATTGTCACTGTTAGCAGCTCGTCTTTAGTGCTTTCCCTCGGAAGTTACCTATGACAGTTTAACATGAAAGAAGATACCACGTGCGTTTAAGCATTCTTGATTTAGCGATTTATATTTAGTTAATGTCGTGGCTGTATGTTAATGTAGAACGTCAGCGTGGTTCTGTAGCTTCAGTTCGAAGGAGATGGACAGTAAGATAGTGCGCCTCAGAGAGACTTAAGAACAACCACATCCTGTTTGTCTTGCCGGGGACTACATCAGCTCCACGATTCTGCAGAAATACAGTTGCCTTTTTTTTTCTTTTCCAACATCAGGTCACTTATGCACCCTGGAATCATAGCAGTGGTGTCAAGCTTTGTGAATGTGATTATCTGGTAAATCTGGTAGAAAATAGCAACTCCAGTAATTAGAGAATTTTATTTCTTTTAGTATAAACCGTACAGGTCTAAACAATAAAAGGATCGTGTGTAAAAATAAAATCCCCCTCCACAACTGGCATCCCAGTCAGGTCGTGCTCCAGCCGTGTGCTTGTGCTGCCTGGATCAAGCTTCACACCCAGGCATGTAGCTCAAGTAAAATAATGGGTTTGAAGCCCCCCCCTTCTGAAGATGTTCTCTCACTGATCAGCCACGTAGCCAGATGAATAACGAGTCTGAACCCCCACCTTGGAATTTGCTTCAACCCACTGCACCGATTGGTGAAATCTACAGGGGGAACCCCCCCTGATTTACGAAATCTACCGAGGGGGGGGGGCAATGTCCCACGCCTCTTGTTGGCAAAATCTACAGAGAGGAATCTGGCAGACCCTCCACAAATTTTTTTTCTGGCTACGATCCCAGCCCCATCCCCCACCTCTGATCACGATAAGCGCTTAGAAAATGGCTGACTGACTGGCTGGTTGGATGGATGGATGGATGGATGGATAGCTCTTTTATTTTGAGAGGGTGTTGGTCTCTGTATTGGTACAGAGGTGATTGGTGTATGATGTGACTCTGTAACACCGAAAATAAAACTTTATCCTGTTTCTTCACATTTTTTGCCACCTAGAGCAGGCGTGTCGCGATTCACGATTGCAAACCAACGGCAGTTGTTTTCAGCCTGCAGAGCTCTGTCCTGAGGTGGAGCGTGCTTTGCTTGTCACTCCTCTATCATAAATATGACCCTCTGCTTTCACCCATCTTGACATACTATCTAAAGCCCTATTCACATCGATATCCTCTAACTTCTGTTAAACCGTGTTCAAGAATGGGTCACAACACAAAACTATCTAAAAATATTGAGCAGACTAGTCGATTACCTTTTCTCTGCTGATATGTTATACATTTTTAAGCTATTTCCTGTATTGTGTGTTCAGAGTCTCTTCTCATTTTCATCATTTCTGATGCGTAATATTTGCTCAACATTCCAGTCAGGCTGTAACTCATTGCTTCACGTTTCGGTAATATCGCAACCTGCTCTTAGCAGACTTTTTGGGATTTTTAGACTGTCGTTCCTGTTTGTTGGGTTCAGATGCATAATAACCACATGAAGAAGCACAGGATGGCATCTGCAATACGTAACAGAAGAAGCTCCAATGGGGAATGTGGACATTTCGCTCGGATCCTGTGCGCTGCATTGGTGCAGTAGAAGGCCGTGTTATTCGGGTTGTGGACATGCGGGAGCAGGTCACTGTCGTGCGCACATGTGGTTTGATGCATTTATTTCATCTGTTTATTAGCTTCTCAGCATTATATGCGCAGTACATGGTGATGATGATAAAAAGGGAAACACTATTAACAAATATTAAAATGGCACCTAACAGCCTTAAGTGTCAATCTGCCTTAAACAGGATTAAAATCGGCCCGCGTTCTTTTGGTTCCTGTGAGATGTGTTTCACTCGCTGAAGCCATCAGCAAATGTCCACAGAGGCAAGGAGAGGCAGAGAAAGCAGCAGACGGGAGATAAACTGCATTCCTCTTCAGCAGAAGATCTCCCTGCTGGTTTGTGTGTATTGCACAAGCTTGCGGTGTGACGAAAAAAACAACGATTTAAAAGCACGGGGAACCTGAAAGCTGTAATCCCATGAAAAATAATGACAAAACATTAGCTTAAAAGTGTGATGAAAGCATGTGGCCTCATCGGCAGGGCACTGCCCAGAAGGAGATAGGTGTTGGTGAATCTTCCAAGCACAACCATAAGAGATGGACCGTGAAGAACCAGAACCCAGAATGAGAGGATGAGAGCAGCCTCCATCGTTTTTATGGAGCAGGTGTGTTTGTGCTCACAGAGGACAGACAGTGTCTATAAAGCTGGGACGCAGATGCTCCTGGTCGGGCGGCATAGGAGGCTCTCTTGGGTGCTGTCTTCTGAGGAAGTGCCAACCAGACACCAGTGGTGAAGCTTATCTGGAGCCTGGAGCCTCACATGGGATCCAAGCAGCACTGACTTCTGGCTGATACTGTAAGATCTGGAATGCGAGGGGCCAAGGCCAGACTTATACAGGGCCAACCAGCGCTGTGCCCAGGGCCCCGAGTTGTAGGGGCCCCAAAATTATTTTCCGGTTTTTACAGCAGCATTTTATGTTGTAGGTAGGGCCCCAACAATGACTTTAGCCCAGAGAGCCCCCACCCCCTTAAATTTGGCCCTGAGAGGGACCATTGTAACTCTGTGGGCCACACGCTCATTGGCAAGTACGGAGGCCTAGGCGGGGGGTGGGGGGGCGTGTCTGTCGAAGCAGTCCTGCACAGACACGACAGTCAGGCTAATTGGTAAACGCAGCCTGAAGCGATAGATTTTTAACAACCAAGAGAGAAAAATATTAGTGTGAAATCCTCAGCTCCACTGCATTCCTCCCCTGGGGGGGGCAGTTGAGATTGTAACAATGATGTCCAGGCAGCTTGACACATGCCGAGAGGGAAAGGGCAGGTAACGGCGCGTGCATGTGGGGGGGGCGGAAACACTGCAGCTCCCGCTGTTTCAAACAGCTCCTCCAGCCCCCCCCCCAGCCCGTTATGCATGCGGAGCAGAATGTAGAAAAGCTGACGGCTCCCCAGGTGCCCCCCAGACCCACACTGACCCCCCACATACTAGTTATGTAAAGCAGCGCACACACATGCGGGCACGTGTCTCTTCCACGCGCATCCTCCACCTTCAACTTCCTCTCGTCCACGGAGCTCGTGGTCATCTCAGTTACTCTCGGACACTGACCTCTTTTCATAGGTTTGTTAGCATGCAGCCACGTGTTGCCGATTTTAGCGATAGCCACTGAGGAGGGAGACCATATGTTACTGTATTGAGAGAAATTGTACGGGTCAGTAGGTAGTCTCCTGGCCTGAGCACGCGTGTGCAAACTTTGGCGGTGAAGATCTCAGACGTGAAGTATGAAGAATGCATGCTCAATGCTGAGGAGGAAAGGAAGGAAGGGAATCAGACAAAGTTTCAAAAAAATCTCGTCGAGTGATTAAGTTTCGATGCACAGTCAGAACAGTACATCTCCTTCGTTCCATTTCTGAGCAACAGGCTCACGTTCTCATGAATGATCTTAGTAACCGTCGAAAATCTGGAACACGTCCGCCATAAGGCAGGGGATCAGTCCTGTGCAGGTAATAACACAAATGCTCATTCATAAGTGAAGCTTCCTGTTGTTAGTTCTCACTACTATCCGACGTATGAGCATCCTGTTGGCGTGATGTGTGCTTCAGCGTGTTTTGTGCACCTCTAAAAAAAATGGTTGAGGTTCTGAACCTTCAATATTATGTAAAAGACCGAGTGCTTCTTAGTTAAAGATCTTCACAAAAGCTTCACATTTGTATCTCTGCTGTAAGAAATAGGACTTCGGGCGCTTAAAACGCACGTTAAATGTAAGTAGTTCTAACCACATGAGTAGGAGGGCAACCAAGTGTTGCCCAAAAGTGTGAATGCTTTTTCTCCGCTCAAAAACGAGCATGGCCTGCAGACGAAGGGGAACGCACCCCAGCAAGCGTGACACATGCCCTGCCCTGGGACCCATGCGCCGCTCACTCTGGTGGGGAGACACGGGAGCTGCAGTCATATCTTACACCATGTTTTATGGCTCCTGCCCCAGCTACATGCATCGTTCCTGGTACCCCCCCATTAATTTAGTTATCTATATCTTTCATTACAGAGGAATGACATGAAGTCTTCACAACTTCCCCTCCAAGTAAAACACTGATTAATCCGAAAAGCAAACACGATCACTCGACTGAGCCCTGGGATGCTTGCAGAAATCCTCTTACTCCCTTTATTTTATTTACAAAGGTTTGAGAATGATTACTGGGATAATCATGTGACTTCTTTACAAGACCAGTTCATTTAAAGTTACAAAATGGGATTTATCATTAGCTGGGGTGGTGTGTGGCCTGGGGTGGTGGTTAGAATCAGATCTGTGCTTGCGATCAGAAGGTTGCTGGTTTGAATCCCATGCCTGAAGATTGATACCACCATTGGGCCCTTGTGGAAGGCCCTTAACCCCTAATTGCTC